TACTGGCTCCATACTTCTTTGAAATAACTGAAGAAGAAACTGGAGTTGTGGTGAGACTTTAATGCAGTGTAGTATTATATGATAGTTGATAATTAAACCACTTATTGTATCTGAAATCACAAAATTAAAAATAGGAAAAAATAACAAACTTTAATAGAAAAATTAGCAAAGAGCCTAGCATGCAATAAACTGTCAACAATATTAATAATATTAATGATCTCTCTCTCTCTCTAACAGGAGATTGGTAAGGCATTGGCTATAGACCCAGATCAGCCGCTAGTTGAAAGTGGAGTGAGGTACTCACTGGACCCGACCAGTTACCCAATGAATACGTTCACTATTGATGCAACCAATGGATCAATATTTGCTGTGAAACCTCTGGACAGGGAAACCATTGACTCCATTGAATTAAGAATAATGGTAATTATAACTGACAGTTTAATGTTGAGTCTTATCTTATTTTCTTTTATATTAATGATAATATTGTCTCTTCTCTTCCAGGCAAGGGACCTAGACCTACAGGATCAAAGGGTCGAAACAGCTATTGCTTATATAACTGTACTGGACATCAACGACAATAGACCAAGGTTTGAATCAAACAGTTATAATGTCTCAGTATCTGAAGACACACCCACTGGTATTGTGGTAAGAGCTCTCAGTATTGTGCATACTGTAATGCTATTCTTTATCATTAGATAAGTCGAGTTAGAGCTAATGACAGTGACGCTGGTGAGTTCAGTAGAATCACTTACTCCATTGACTCTGGAGCAGAAGGGAAATTCACCATTGACCGTATGATTATCAAATAATGTTTAAATATTATTATTTTTCTTTTTCTCCTTCAGCTAATTTTGGAAGAGTGATAGTTGCTAGTGGTCTTGACTATGAAGAGGAAAAGTTTTACAATTTAACAGTTCGAGCAACTGATGGAGGGGGCCTGTCTTCAACAGCATATCTTGAAGTTCACATAACTGACATTAATGACTGCACTCCACAGTTTGATCGGAATATTTATTCAATTAACGATATTTTAGAAAGTGCTT